TAATTTTATAGTTCTCACAAATACATGGCTAAATAATAGATTTTTTAAACAACGAATTAAGGTTTACTCAATATTTCATATTAAGAGGTGAGCGATGTAACACAAATTAAAAACCCAGTCCACCATTAGAATCTATCCCTCTCTAAACATAAATAACTATAAATTAGATTGTCTAGCTATTATTTAAGACAATAATACGACCAAATATTTATTAAGTAATTTATACTTCATAGTAAAGTTTGAATACATATGACTAATACGGAATCCTCATCAAACTGGATTAATTAATAAAATTGAACGCCTTCAAAATCGATTTTTGAATGTACTTGTTTTAGGACCAACAAGACTAACGTTTAGATTAGATTAGATCAGGGGTCACCAACTGGCGGACCTTGAGTACTTTTTTTACGGACCGCGAGCGCGTTTTCATTTTATATTAATAAACGAATTTAATATGAATAAATAAATAAATATAAATACAAATTTAAAAAATGTATTTACCTACTATTTATTAACGTGTATATAATACAATTTGAATAAATAAATAAGTATAATCACAAATTTATAAATTATAAATACCTATTTATTAACGTGTGCAAAAGTCATTAAAACTGTTTGGACCGCGTAAAGTTTGGTAAGTTTCAAAACGGACCCCCATAGAAATTAGTTGGTGACCCCTGGATTAGATGAACATGCTAGTAAGAGAGTATAGTACGAGTCGCTTGAAAAAAAGATAGAAACTATTTGATGTACTTGCCTATACAAGCTATTTAGTTCCTAAATTATATGTCCTGAATTACTTAACTAAATATCTTTTAATGTCCCAAAAACTATTACTCGTTTGTTTAATAACACCTATTCATCGTTAAAATTATAGTTTATTTTCTCCGATAAATATAGTGTTGATCTCAAATAATTCAATAAACAATTTTGATTTTTTTAATGATAGTTTATCCAGGTTAAAATCACTTATTTAGTATTGTAACGTTACGTCGGATTAAATGTAAATTTTAGTTAAACACATGTTGTTACGTTTTTTATTTTTATAAAATAACTGTCCTGAGCTCAATAAATTGGGCGTATTCTTGATACTGGTTTGTTATAGTCCCGCCATTCATTATAACAATAAACACATCGTATAAATATAAAATAATTCGACGAAAAATACGTACCATTATACTATTAAGCACCTAAAAATCGTCAATCGACCAAATGAGGTAACAAAAAACGTAGAGGAACAGACAGAATTTTTTTAGACTCTTACATGGCGAAATGTATGTGGTGATCAAAACTGAATAACAGTGATCTGTATTACACCATTTTAAAATATGTAGCAATAACCATAAACATTTTTATATACATTATTTATACATTTTTAACATTATCATATTTTTTAAATTTTTTTTCATATTATATCATTGAATTATTAGATTAATAAACTCACTATTTTATATTTTTACGATGTGTTTATTGTTATATGAATGGCGGGACTAAAATAAACCTGAGTGGTGGGGCTATAAAGTTTTCACTCGCCGCGGCGAGGTTATAACAAACCAATACCTTAATAATTTTAATAATAAATAAATAATGAGTAAAATGACTACTATAAAATTATTATGCAAAACTACTACCAAAATAATTACCACGATATATACCTATATCTACCATTGCCAATTGCAATTTAAATAATGTACATGAATAATTATCACGAACGAGTGTATACGAATAGTTTGCACGGACAAAATAAGTAGGTATAGTCATTTACAGTGATGACCTAAAAATGTATTTTTTTTTTCTTTTAAAACTATCTAGCATCTGGTGTTATTTTCGTTTGCTTAGATTCAATATAATGGATGTTTTAAAATGACGTATAACAGGAAAAAGTAAAATAAACATTGAGTTTAGGACGTTTAGGTTATGCAAACGGTTTTTATCTTCAAAAAAATCTAAAACTAACTCTTAAGAAAAACTGTTCAGAATTTATTTTTTGTGAAAATATTTTTTACGTAAAAATATTAATACCCGAGGCAAACGTTTTGACTTATTAACCGACAGCAGATTTTTAGGTCAAGTTGTATAAAAATATTTTCAAGTGAAACCCACAGGTATTATTATATAAACTATGCACCTCCCTCAGCGCATTGTGTCGTTGTGTACTTACAAGGTATTTTACTATAAAATTTGCTCATAGATATGCATTGTACTTTACTCGATGTTTAAAAGTTCAAGCGCAGTTCATATTCGATTACCATTGAATAAAAATATAGTAACTACTTTTGGAATAAATATAGTTTAGTCCTTAAAATACATAGGTACTGATTTTTCAGTTTTTAATTTTTAATCAAAATGTATGATTTAAGGTAGATACCTACCTACTGAATATGAAAGTGTTAAAAAAATATTTATAAATTCATTTTACGTTGTAAAAAATCGTGATAGCCTCATTAAAAATGTCAAAAAATTATTTATTATTAGTTTGTTTACAATCGAATCTTGAGGATTCTCGATGTATAATTCGTATAAGGTACCTAGCTATATAAATATTAAGCTGTTTTAAGTTCACAAAAAACTATATCTTTTTGTCCAGTGTCATCCGCAAACCGCAGTGTATAAATTGTACATAACTTATAACTGCTGTACATTGGAACATTGTTTTTATTACAGTTTGAAATTCAAACAGTAAATACAATTCGTTAAAACAGGAAAAATCGTAAATAGTTTGTAGCTAAAATTAATACCTACAATTTGGATTTAAATACCTGACTTGAAAAAAATTGAATAAATAATTCCTCAGTGTTTCATACTTTTAAAAATTAAATAAGTTTAATAGATAGCACTAACATATTAACTAAATTGTGTCTATTGTAATATTTGACTACGATGCATATCTAACAGAAAATGTTGAAAAATGATGAATTTTTTTTTTTAGACATTTAAAATATGTATACACAAATTGATAGAAGAAGAAAAATAAATAAGTATATAAGTTAATAAACAGTGCAATATAAACTATAGATTAATAGACTTGAAAAAGGTTGGAAAGGATTATCTATAACACAAACATAATTTATTTTTTTATTATTTAATAGCCATACTCCATAGATTACATTATGATTGCTCAACAAATAATAAAAAGTTAAAACAGAGAATATTAATTACAATTTATTAATAATTATTAAATAATAAAGCCAGCATCCTATAAAAAAAAAATTTATTTTATTTTGTATTGAGAATGGAGTAAAGTTAAAAGAAATAAGCTTATTAAAATTAGACGTTTAGCCTGTAGAAGTGCAAAACAACAACATAAAATGTTTTAGATAATATACTGGTTTATTATCGACCAATAATAAGAGTCTGTTGTCTGCTTAGATCATATACAATATATATCGTATATGATCTAAGGTTGTCTCACAGATATATAAAAATACTAGATAGCCGACTTGGTATTATTATTGTCGCCAGTAAAATGGCCGCCATCCTTATCTAAGAGGTGAATGTTTATGTTTCTTAGTATTGATAAGAACGATGTTAATATTATTTATTATTTAATACTAGGAATAATAAATGAACATTTAGAATTACATTTAAATACTTAAAGCTATTATTATTTTGTGTAACATTTTAGAAAAGTTTTTGTCTTTTTGAGTGGAATTAAATTTTCCTTTATACAAGGGAAATGTTCATCAAATATTTTGTCTGTGTTCTTGAAGATGAAGTTTTAAAGATAAATGTAAGTTAGGTATAACTACCTACTTATAACATAATTTATTGTAATACAAATACCAGTACATCCAGAAAGTATAACATTTAAAAAAATGATCACGTGCTTTATTTATTTAATCAGTACAATATAACTTTAATAAAATAATATATATATATATATATATTAAAATAAATCTTGATTCCTTGTATTTATCAAAATGCTTAAATAATGATATAAAATATTTATAATAACAATAAAAAAATAATAGGTATTATAAACTACATGACATATGGGTAAAACAATTTTATTGATTCATAAATAAAATTTGTTTTGTCAATTTATGGCGGTTACTAATTAGATTTAAAATATCTGTAGAATACATTTTACCATATGAATGTAATCTCATGCTTAAATATTTCTTTATAAGTAATGCAATTAAAACCATTTTATGGGGTCTAATGTAAAAACATTATTACATTCTAAATATTTAAATATATTTTTGTCCACTGCAAATTTTTTATTAACAAAGCAATAATAAACCATAGTAATAGATATATGTTTAAAAAATATTAATAATTACTGTACCTACCTTTCCTATACATAAATCACAATTTATATTTATAAAATTTAAAAAAACATGCTTAATATGTGCATTAATAATGTTGGTGTATGAGTAATGTTTGGCATGTAGGTATATATTGTTATAAAATAATAACACAATGCATATATTTAATTATTATTTTTATTAAGATTTATCATGTTTGATAATCGTTTGGGATTCTTAATAATTATAAATAGCTCACAAATACCATAATATTGTTTTATTCAAATACATACAGTAAAATATTATATTATATTAAAATATATAATTGTGTAAAATATTAAATGGTTCCAAATTTCAGTTCCAAGCAAATACATTTTCTACAATAAAAGTTTCTGAGCTTACACTATTCAGACAAAAAAATTTTCTGAAGTTTTCGTTCCTATAAAATTTAAAATACTATATCCCTCCAAAATAGTATCTTATCATTTATCATATCAGTTTAATTTGTAAACAGTCACCTCTTAGATAACGATTATCGGCCATTTTGTTGGAGACATAATTTTGTATGTAAAACGTATGGCAGTCGGCTATCTAGTATTTTTATATATCTGTGGGTTGTCTGTATGATAATATTGATAATAAAACAAGATTTTTAACTTCAATTCTACGTTATTTAATTTTATGAAGCGTGGCCACACTGATCGGTCGTCATAGAAGTGATTATGTTTACAGTGTAACGTACTAACGTATTTACTATTTAACGGTCATAACGAATAATGATACCTCCATTCTCTAGTGATTTTTTTTAGTAATTACTTCGTTGTTTTTTCGATTATAAACGCGTAATTTATACGAATAAACAGCAAATTACATGTTTGTTGATCAATATTCAAGAACCTGATATTTTGAAACCATAATGGACAATTTCGAATCCACTTTTCTTCGTTGGGTAAGTCATATGAATTTAGACAGAACTCATATTATGATGTTGGACTCGGATAAAATAAATAAGTACACATTCTTGCATAACTATTATAACATTCAAAATTATTTCTTTTTATTGGGCCAGTAATTAAGTAAGTAATATTATTATTACTTTATGTTTTCCTTCAATATCTAAATACTTGGTATAGATAAATACCTGTATAATCTTACTACAGTACTGATATAATAAAAGTTAATAGTATACAATACTCATACAATAATAATATTTTGGCAACTAAATACAGTATAATTGGATAAACAAATCAATTTATTTAATTATTTTATCAATTCAAATTTAATTAGTTGTTAAGTTTATGATTTGTGTTGCTGATCTTATTTTACACGTTAACCTTTTTAAATTCAAATATATTGTAGATATTTAAATGTAAATTACCTGCTATATAGTATTCACCTGATAATAATTATAATTTATAAGATGTTAGGTAGTTATTCATGCTAATTCACTAATTAAAAGTATATCCTCTACCTTAATCATTCTTAGAAGGTTAAAAAGTTTAAAAATAATAATAACAATAATAAAAATATAAAACCTTAATTTCTTGTCAGGTAGCACTGCTGGTAACCTTCCTACTTTTTAATTAATGTTATTTTTAATTCAACACGCTTACTTATTATACCTTGTTTGTATAGATTGTAAATATACTATATTAAATTTAAAAAATAAGTAGTTATTTTTATTTTCAGATATGTTTATTTGATGAATTTAAAGACAATGAATATTCAAGTATAAAAAATCTTGTATCCAGTACATCGTTTAAGCAATTTGTTGATAATGTGTAAGTATTGTGTTTTACTTATTATATTTAACTTACAACAACATAAATTGTCAAATAACTTAACATACTAATAACTTTTTTTAATCTTTCTGCAATGTTAATTTATATTTGCTTAACATTTTATTTGATTTATCATAAGTATTTGTGCCAAGTTGCATAAACAATCATGAATATTTAATGAATTAATAATATAATTATGATCTCTTATAAATAATTTAGTAACTCATTGTTGGTCCATGAAAGTTTAATTAATTAATTCTTCTATAAAACTTAATAATATAGTATTACTAATTAAAATATATTTTGATATTTTATAGATTTTGTTTGAAATGTTCTTCAGATTTGAGTACAGAAGATACACAAGTTTACAACACTATAAAAGGTATTTTTTTAATTTTAAAGTAATATTTTTTTATTAATTATTAAAAAAAAAAATTTAACAGTGAATTATTGTGAGTTTGAAGTCCAAAAGTATGAAGACTTATACAATAAAGAAAATTCAATCTACACTTGTGTCGTGGTTTTGCTACATGCATTATTAAAATGTACAAATGACAAATTTAGAAATCAGTTAAGTGAAAGAATGAATAATGAAGAACAAGAATTACTTGCAAATTTTTTAAAAGCTACACAATCTTTATTGTTCACCAAACAAAATATTTCTGAAGCACTTGTATTAATAAGTGATTCTAAGCATACTTCTATTAATGTTTCAGGTAAACATAAAGATTAATATAAATATTTTTTTAATTTAATTATATAATTTGAAATAAATAATTGTATTGGATAAATATATCTTTGTGTATAGAAGTTTATTCAAATAACAATACACCAATCAAATCAAAATCAATGCGGCGAAGCTATTTACAAGAATTTTGTGAGGTAATACTAATATTTTTAAAATTACTCACTTTTTAAAGTATTATTTTAATTGTATTTATGTCTTTGTGATTAACCATCCAAATTGTGTGTAGTTATTAATATTAAATTCAATTGATTTATTATTAAATTTTAAAGTAAAGACATGTTTTCTCTTAGGTTTTTTACAATATTTAAATTTTTAAGTTAGTTATAAGAAATTTTAAATTGTAATTAATTACATACTCATAAAATACTTTCAAACTAAAATTTCAATAGTAGCCTAAAGGTTCCATAGGTAGTATTATTAACTTCATGTTTTATGATACATCAGTTTACTTAATTAATGGTATTTAAACAAAAGCCAGACAAAACTGTAGAAATTGGGTTTTATCAATTTTAATTTTCAAAAAAGTTTTGTTTGATTAATGTATTTAACTAAATTTTTGGAGAGAAAATTTTTAATATTCCAAAAGTTGTTAGTTTCATATTGAAAAATATAAATAAAAATTACTAGATTATTATTTATCAATATTGTAATTCAAAATTTAGTTATTAAAATCACTTTTATTAAAACCTATTGGAACTTGTTAATCAATTAAAATCCAATTTCAAGATTTAAAATTGTTAAACCAAATTCTTACAATTTTGGTTGAAATATTAACTTTTTTCATAGAAAAAATTTTATTAAAATTAACATTTGACATAAGTCTATACACGCATAAGTTCATTGATAGCATATATTATAAATAAGCTGATTAACAGATCTCGCAGTGTTATGCAATCCTGCAGATAGAATTTCACATATATTCAGTGAGTTACTAACCTATATAAATATATTGTTTTTTGGTAACCACATTTCTTTTAGAATCAATTCATAAGATGTAAGTTTTATATATTAATAAGACAGTAAATCAAAAAATATTATTTAAAAAAGAATAAATTATTAAAAGACCTGTATTAGTATTAATACGTTTTGATTATAATTAAGAAGTAAAAATGTAATAAGTTAAGAGAATGTTACACCTGTGTGTATTGTCACCCTCTTACATGCATATAACTTAGCAAATTTGCATTCAGTTAAAAATATTTGTTATTACTTATTTAAATAATATTAGAAAGAATTTACCTATTATCAAAATTAAAGGTTACAGAACGATCAATGTCGCAGTGTTGATTTTTTGTTTTTATTTTTAAGCTGAATATAAACATTCTAAATTTTTGATATTTTTCTTACATACCTTGATTAAAAATTAAAATATAAAAAAAAAAATCAAAACTACAACACTGATTATTGTGTAACCTTTAATTTTTATGATAGGCGATTTTTTTTTTTTTAATATTTAAGTTCACAAAATTTAAAGTTGTGGCCTTGTCTTAATAAACATTTCGTCCCTAGCAAATATTAATTTTAAATAATTGGTCCACAAATATTATTAGTCCTAGTGCATTTGGTTTCCAGCCTATTTTAATTGTCAAACATTCATCACCCAGTTTTTTTGAATTATACTGAATACTGGTTGTTAATTTATAGTACTTCATGTTATTGATACTTCCTAAACCAGCGGTTCTCAAACTGTGCTCCGCGGAGCCCTAGGGCTCCGCGAGAGTAGTCTAAGGGCTCCGTGGCTCCCTGAGAATTTTTGTATTAATTAAATTTAAATTATTAAATTATTATTATATTTCTTAGTTAAATTTTTATTTTTATAATCAATATTATTTAGACCGTACCAATATGAATTATTTTAAACGTTTAAAACTTTAAAATATTTATAAATCCACATATGTCATATTTTGTGTCATTGTCAAAATGAGATTAGATAAAAGTCGGGTTTTTCATTCATTTGACATGTTGTAAGATAATGATTTAGTTTACTTATCTACAAGAGTACAATCTACATTCTACGAAGTTCTAATAATTTCTTGATTCTTCAGTCATTACTCGTTATTCATCGGCCGCTAACGCAAATATTGTTATTTCGGTGTTTATTTCGTATTACGTGTTTCTTATTTTACCATCAATTGTTTTTATTGTTAACAATTTTTTTTGTGAATAAAAATACAAATGGATCGTATATATTCGTATTTTATAGAAAATAAAAATAAAAAGCAAATCATTTACAATTGTTAATTGTAATTACATAATTTATTTATGAATTTTTGTTGTCTCATATAGACATTTCTGATCTTTGGGGCTCCGTAATTTTTTTTAGGAATATATGGGCTCCGCGAACAAAAAAGTTTGAGAACCGCTGTCCTAAACAATAAATGATTTTATTTGTGTTTAATATTTACAGTTAATAATTTTATATTTATATTAATATTTACCTAATTTAATAACCTTTATTTTAGTCACCAAAATCTCAGTGTTTAATAAATCAAGAGAAAGAAAAATATATCACCAAACTTACTGAAGACTATAAAAATGAATGTGAAGAAAACTACAAGTTGGCTGAAAATGTTAAATATCTAAAAGAGCTTAATACTCAACTAAGTAAATATTGAAAAAAAATAATATTTTTCCAAGGTTGATTTTGTTATCTGAGAATATATATATACTATAATTAAAAAAATAATAATTTAATTTAAAATAACAGTTAATATGTCATTGTAAAGTAAATTATACAGGTTTAATAAGAATTGAGAAATTATTATTTATTAATATATAATATGTATTAAGTAGCTTATTATATTTTTTGCATAGTACATAAATTAAAAATAGTAAATTATTTTTAAGTTTTATTAATTATTGATTTTTAATTTAGGTAATAAATTAGAAGACAAAGATAAAATATTACAATTATTGAAAGATGAAATCAAAGAATATTCCAAACCAAATCAGTCTCCAGAAAATAAAACAGATAATACATTAATTATAAAAAAATTAAATAGGGACAAAAAAGATTTGGAGATGAATTGCAATGAATTAAAACAACAAGTAACAGAACTTGATAAAAAACATAAAGAGCTTAATGGAAAAGTATGTAAATTATGATTAATTATAAACTATCTATCAGGACTGTCCATTGTAGATTTATAGTTAAGACATGTAAAGCTTAACTAATATCTTAAAATGTTCTAGTAAACAACAATCCCACATTAATTTTTGATCAACAATTTTCTTTAATGGTTATAGCTTTATAATATGCAATAGGTATAAGTTAATTGGAATAAGTCATTGTATATAGTTGTCCAGTTTATTATAATCTAGGGAATAGTCACTGAATACCCAATAAAAGATGCTGCTTTAAATAATCATCAGCCTGTGTAGCTCGGTATTAAAATTTTATAACTTTAATATAAAAAAATGTACTAAAAATCAATTGCACTAAAAGATTTGTCTGTAGTATAATATAATGTAATTGTATTTATTAAATGTATAATAATAGCTTTTATTAAAGAAGGGGTAAACTTTGAAATCAATGAACTATTTGATCACCCTGATATATTTAATATCGGTCTTTACTATTATTCTATTTGAATTATGACTTATTATTACTACCATGGTCCCAATGTAAAAATAGTCATGGTACCAAATTATAATTTGAAAGTAAAATATTAAAAAATCAACTTTTTTAAACAACACTTGGTTTGAAATTTGAATACAGCTATCTTCCATTTGTAACTATCAGATGATTTATTTTTTCCTAGACAGAAGAACAGGTACTATAGCAATTTGGGGAAATTTTTCATTCACTAGATTAAGAAATAAAATTGGAGGATGAAAATGTTGTTAAGTTTAAAATGTATTATCTAGGCGCAAAAATAATGCAGGTAGAATACTTCTATAGCAATGGTGTTTTGTAGAACTATATATTATGAAAGAAAAGAGTTGATTCACTAATGCATTGATAAATAATTAAATATTACTATAATTTAAGATTAAGTCTAATAGTTGTAGTTTTACATTTATAAATTAACAGATACTAGGAATATTTAAAAGTATAATATATATTTGAACAACAATAACAGTAAAAAAAGAACTCCTATACCATGTAACTCCAATAATTTTAAATCAAAAAATTATATTACCAACACTTTAATAAAATTAAAGATCAAAAATTAAATTGAAATTTTTATTCAAAGTTTTTTTTATTGATATATTGTTTGTTTTTTTTTTTTTTTTTTTTTTTTTGTGATGGAGAAGTCTCTTGATAAACTATACTGCCACACTTACCATTGATAACTAAATAAATCTTATTCTGTTTACAATGTTCTAATTTTAATTAATAATTTATTATTTTTGTTTTTAGTTTGAAATGAAAACTTCAGAGTATAATAATCTTATTTTAACGTTTGATAATGTTGAAAGCGAAAATATGATGTTAAAAGAAAACATGAAATTATTTGAAGCAACCATAAAAGCAAAAGACTTAGAAATAACTGTAAGTTTAAAACTTGATGCCATAGTTTTAATAGTAAACAGTTAGATGGGCCATAATAAAAAAAAAAAACTACTCTACTTTAAAAAAATAATGTTATTATTATTTTTGATAAATTTAAAAATGAAAATACTATTATATTATTTTTTATCTACAATCTATTGAACTATTTTATTTTACAACTTCACTCAATATTTAAGTTATGAACTTAACTAATAACCATGTTTTTATACCATCTCCTTTCTCTTTTTTAAATCTTAGTTTCTTTATTATTAAAATTCTTTTGTGCAGATGATAACGATATTTCATCTTTGTTAGTCTAAAAATGTATGCTTAATGAATATAAGAATTACATACCCATGTGTTTAATGATAATGAATTTTTTAATTCTTTTCTATACTTTTGGCTAAATAAAAAAGTATAATTTTGAAACCTACAATTACTTCTTTGCTTGGTAGTCTTCACAAATTATATATTTCTAACACAGTATAATCAATGAATTATAATCATAAAATATTAAGTTTAATAAAATGTATAACTTTTTTTCATTTAAGTCTTTAAAAGATGAATTATGTAATAAATCAATAACAAATAATCCAACAAATATAAGCAGCCAAGAAGCTAATTCTATGCCTCCAAATACATTATTTAATGAATTGAGTTGTTTGAAATTAGAAGAAATAACACATGATAAAGAGAAATACAGACATAAGTACAAATCAATAAAAAAGGAATTATCAAATGTAAGTATAGTAATAAATAATTTTTTTATGATTTTTTTTATATCAAAATATAACTCATAGCTTATATATTTAGTGCTTTAACTATCTAATTAATATAGTTGTCATCAAACACCTTACAATTCTTAGTATTTTTGCTATTTTTTTAAGTATATGTAATAATAAAATTATTATTTTGATAGAGAATATGCTAGTTCTGCACTCATTTCCCTTTCCATTGACACTAGCATGCAGATATATGTCTAGTTGCAATATTTATTGTAGAGGAGTGTGCACTAGACAAAAACCTTTCACCACTTTGTCTATTAACTTTTTAAATAGAATATAATCTAGCTAAAACATAGTTCTGATTAATGCAAATTAGTCATATTACATGTTTGTAAGACATGAAAAGTAAAAATACATTCGTTCAATAAGAATAAAATAAACTAAAATAGCAATATTTATTTGTTTGAAATATACTTCTAGTATTTCATTTTATATCAGTTGCCAGGCTTATGAGTAATTAACAAACTTCGCTCAAATACCTGCAAATTAATTATCTGACAACTACTGACTACTTTAATAGCATAATTGTTTACTTTCCTTTAATGTTTTTCCAGACTGAAATCCATGTTAAAGAATTAAATGATAAAATAATTATATTAGAAAAAAAGTTGAATGATTATGAAACTCATAAAGATGAATTGATAGATCAATTCACAAACAAAAAAAAAGAACTTCAAGAATGTCAAAAGAAAAAAAATAATTTAGAATCAAAAATTAAGCATCTTAAAGATACTATCAAAGACAATGAAAATCATATTGAATCCCTTTGTTCTAAGTTAGATAAAAGAGAAAAACAAATTGAGATGTTATCTGTTGAAATGGATTCTGTGAAAAAATCAAAAACTATGATTGAACTAATTTTAAGCAAAACTAACACCGAAATTGAAGCAATACATGAAGAATATGATGAAAAAGTAAAAAAATTCCAGTCAACGATAGAAGAATATAAAAATTCGGAAAATTTATCTCATCAAAACTTAATTGACTTGGAGAATAATTTGAAAAATGTTCAAGATAATTTAGCAAATAAAGAACACATTATTATTTTTTATGAAGAAAAAATGGCTGAAAATTACCAAATTATTGGTACTCAAGAAGAGCAATTGAAAACTATGTATCAAGAAAAGCTATTATTAGAATCACATTTGAAAAATGTAAAAGTAGAAATTGAAACACAACAGAAAAATTTTAATGACAAAAATCATGAGATGGAAAACTATTTAGAATATTATTTAGATGAGTTGAAAGATATTAAAAATGAAAAAACAAAAATTGAAGAAATTTTACATTGTAAAAAAAATGAAATAGATCAACAACTAGAACTAATTAACTATCAAAAAGATATAATTAAAACATTACAATCAGAACAATGTAGCCAACAACTTATCATAAATGATCTTAATGAAGTTTTGCAGCAAAAATCTTCTGAAAATAAAGATTTAAGTGCAAAAGTACTTGAAACTACATCAGATTTAAATAAGTTGAATGAAAAACTTAGTGTGGCTCTGGCTGATAATGATATTATAGAAACAAATTTGAAAAAAAATGAATTGCAAATGAAAACTTTGAAAGAAGAATTTCAGTGTCAGATTAATGATATGAAAAATGTATTAGAAAATCAAAATAATCAGTATATAAAAAAGGTTGAGAAATTACAAGATAATTTAGATAAAAAACAAAATGATTTTAATGAACAACTTATAGTATGTAATAAACTAACTGAAACTATTTCTCAGTTACAAGTAGAAAAAAAAGAATTAGAGGAAAAATTAAAATTAAGTAATCTAGATTTAAATCAAAAACAGATACAATTTGAACAAATTACTAAAGAGAATAATAAATTGAAACAAAATGTTGATTATATTGAAAATCAATGTCTTGATTTACAACATAAATTAAATGATTTGAATAACATTATATTAAAAAAAGAAGAAGACATAAAATTATTGAAAGTTGATATATCAGAAAATTCAGTTTTGAAAGAAAGCCTACAGAAACAAGTTATTGAAGTACAGCAAGTTTTGAACAATAAAAATATTGAGTTAGAAGATCAAATTCAACAATACAATGAGCAAAGAGAAGCAATCATAAAATTAAACTTGGAAAAAGAGTGTCTTAATGATAAAATAATAAACCTCGAAGAATCACTAACTCATAACGAATACAAATTTAATTTATGTGAAGGGAAATTATATGATTGCAGTAATACAGTTGATGATTTGGAAAAAAAAATAAATGAGATAAAAAATGAAAAGTCATTTTTAGAATTGGAATTGAAAGAAACTATTACTAAATTATCAAAAGCAAACCAAGATCTTACCCTACAATTAGAAATCAATGAAACAAATTTATTAAACACTCAAGAAAAATTAATTCTTGAACAAGATGAATTGAAGAAAGAAATAGAAAAGTCAAATGAACAAATAAAGACAATATCTATTTTGAATGCGGAAAATGTTAGGTTAGAAGAAGAAACCAACAAACTTCAAAAATGCTTAAACATAAATGATGATACTATAAAGTCATTGCAAGAAAAAGTTCTTGCTTGTGAAAATCAGTATGAAGAATTACAAACATTGAAGACAAATTTAGTATCTGAACTTAGTGAAAAGCAATTGAAATTAGTTAATTTACACCAGGAGTCTAAGCAACAACTTGATGATATGAATATCAAGTATAATGAAGTACAAGAAAAGTATAATAACAAACAGATTGAACTTGATGAATTCTTTACTAGATATAACTGCCTTATGAAAACTGTTACTCATTTAACCACGGAAAGGGATAATTTAATTAATAAAACTGATACGCTTGAGAATAATTTATTAAACAAAGATATTATTATTACAACTAATCAAGAAAAATTACTTGAGTATGAAGAAATGAATAATAAAATTTTAACTGAAAAGACTGCAATGGAAGTAGATTTAAATCTACGTCTTAAAGAAATGGAAACAAAATTAGCCGACTTGCAAGAAGAACTAAATCTCATGCATTTAAGCTTAGAAACTCGGGAAAAAGAAATTGATCAACATTTAAAGACCATCTTCAGTTTGACTTCAGATAAAGATAATTTAATAAATGAAACAAAAACACTTAAAGATTGTTTATTAGAAAAAGAAAAAATTTTATCATTAAATGATACAAAATTTATTGGATTTGAAACACAATTAAGTGAACTACAAAGTCTAAAAAATTTCTTAGAAACAGAACTCAATGATACTAAAACACAATTACACAATATTCAACACAACCTAACTCAAACACTAGAAGTAAAAAATAAACAACTACAAGATGTTGAGGAAAAACATATAAATTTGCAAGAAGAATTGGATAAACAAAACAAAAAGCTCAATGAAAACCAATTGAAATTAATTAATTTACACCAGGAGTCTGAGCAACAACTTGATGATATGAATATCAGGTATAATGGAGTACAAGAAAAATGTAATAACAAACAGATTGAACTTGATGAATTCATTACTAGATTTAACTGCCTCATGAAAACAGTTATACATTTAACCACAGAAAGAGATAATTTGATTAATAAAACTGATATGCTTGAGAATACTTTATTAAATAAAGATATTATTATTACAACTAACCAAGAAAAATTACTTGAGTATGAAGAAATTAATAATAAAATAATAACTGAAAAAACTGTAATGGAAGTAGATTTAACTCAACGTCTTAAAGAAATGGAAACAAAATTAGCTGACTTGCAAGAAGAACTAAATCTCATGCATTTAAGCTTAGAAACTCGGGAAAAAGAAATTGATCAACATTTAAATACCATCTTCAGTTTGACTTCAGATAAAGATAATTTAATTAGTGAAACAAAAGCACTTAAAGATTGTTTATTAGAAAAAGAAAAAACTTTATCATTAAATGATACAAAATTGATTGGATTTGAAACACAATTAAATGAACTACAAAGTCTAAAAAATTTCTTAGAAGCAGAACTCAAAGATACTAAAACACAATTACTCAATATTCAACACAACCTAACTCAAAAACTTGAAGTAACAAATAAACAACTACAAGATGTTGAGGAAAAACATATTAATTTGCAAGAAGAATTGGATAAACAAAACAAATGTTCAATTGAACAAATAGAGAAAATCAATTCATTAATGTGCGAAAAAAATAATTTGATAAATGAGACTAATAATCTCAAAGAATATTTAGTTCAAAATGAAACTGATTTAGAGTTAACTCAGAATAAATTGCAGGATTATGATAAACAAAATAAAGAAATAGAAAGTCGAAATACATCTTTGTTGATAGAATTGAATCAACTGAAATGTCAGTTCAATAATTTACATCAAGAATCCACTGAAGAAATTGATAAAATCAATAAAAAAAAATTGGAAGCTCAAGAACAAATTAACCTTAAGCAAACTGAAATGAATGAACATATCAAACTAAAAAATGATTTAATAATTGATATCTACAAGAAAATAAATTACTTAAAATGTATGAAAATTGAAATGGAATCAATGCTAAAGAAAGAAAGAAAAAATTTTGAAACATGTTTTGAAACTTGTTTGAATTATTCATTTAACCATGTTAACAACAAACCCAAAGTGGATCATCATGATTCATTAATCGAAGTTATAACTTCTGCAGATACATTTATTGAACAAAATGGTATTCAACTTGCCCGAGTTGAAAACTATGATGAATACTTTATTATTGAAAAGGTGAAAAAAATATTTGAAGCTTTGAAAATGTTTATAATTAGTTTAAAATCACAAGGAAATGAACAAACAATTAATGACACTAGTAATGAGTCTAATGAAACTTATACCGAATTACTTGCTTTATCAAAAACGTATGTATTTCATTTAATTAAATTTACTATAAAATTAAGATAAATATTTAATTTCAGTCAACAAGCAACCATTAAACATTTAGAAAATGAAATGTCTACATTAAAATCTGAATGCAATTACAAAATGACAAAAGTCCAACAAAAAACTCAAGAGTATGTAACCTCAGAATATGAAAAGAAGTTTGAACGAAAACGAGAACAAATGGTAATGTTGAAGTAAAATTATCATAATAGATAAATATTAATATCAAATACTTCTTTTTTTTTTTTAGAAACAATTTTGTAAAGATTTAGAGGCAAAAATTCATCAAGATTATGAAACTAAACTGTCAAAATACAAAGATAAGGTGTGTTCTTTTAGGTCATTATTAATTTTCATTAACATTAATTAATTGTTATAAAACAGATAACCAAAGATGAAATTCATATTAAAGAACTTGGTCAGCAGTTGTGGGAAGTTAGTGAAAAATATTTAAAGTTACAACAAAAAGACAGAAGAGAATCAACAATGTCCTTACCATTTGAAATGTCAATGAATTCTGAAATAGTAAGTATTTTAAAAATATATAAATCATGTTTAAGGTGTTGAATAGTTATTTTTATGTACATTTATTTTACAGACAACTACTCTCCCAAAATATAATTCTTTTACATTGCCAAAGTCTAGCTCAGTAGGTCAAATCAGGTAAAAATACTTACTAATAATATATTTATTTGATACAATATTGAATATTTTCAATTGTTGTATTATGATTTTAGATCACTAGTTGAAGAGACCACTCGTTCTTATCAAGATAATACTAAACGAAATGTGCCTGCAGGAATCGGTAAAAAATTCAGCTTATCATCTGGTGCGTTACTAACAAAAATCTAACATATTAATATTTTTGCCTAGTTTGTAATTAAAAAAGTATTACCTAATATAATAATAATTAATACTAATTATTTCAATACCCATATTATATAAGAATATATTCAATATTTTATTCACTATTTCAAAAATGGTCATTTTTAAATTATGTTGTTTAAAACTTTAATCTTTAATCATTATTTGTTATAGCTGTTTCTTAAAGAAGCAGAAAACTAAAATTATATAAAAATGAATTTCAATGAAACAATTTTAGTTACATAACTATAAATTTGAATTGGATTTGTTTGTAATTTGTATAAATATAATAAATTTTTAGTAAAAAAATAAAATGGTAAATAATATGCTTTGCTACTTGAATTCATTAATATTCCTGCTGGACAAAATTAATTTAACTTATAAACCATCTATTCATGGACTGAAATAAATTATATTTAAAAATAATGCTTTGATTAATAGTATTGGGTATTCTTGTATAACTATTGCTTAATATGGCTTATTCATAAACTAAATATTATATTTTATCTTTATCAACATAGCAACTTCAAAACATTTATCTGAAAAAAAATAAGTAATAACAGTTAATTTGCTGTTGAAATTTAACAATAATTTTTTTAAATTAAATAGTATTTAATTGACTGATTTGCCAGTATTGTTTAACCAATCTTCCCTATGTACATTTTACAAATTAAATCTCTTCTTTTTTTCTTTTTTCTTTTTTTTTTTTTTTTTTTTTTTTTTTTTTTTTTTTTTTTTTTTTTTTAATTCATATTTTTAGTAAGCAACTTGATTTTTTTTTCTAGCTCTAATTTAATTTAATTGGACATTTAAGAAAAAAAAAGTGAATATTTTTTACTTGTTAAATTTTAGATTTATTTAAATTTTAGATCTATGAATGGTTTTTGATTATCATTATCATTATTTCTAAATAATAAATGAATTTGATCAATTTTATACTTTCCAAATATTTATTTTGTTTATTTTATTTTCATAAGAGAATATTATAATATATTACTCACTTTTTTTCAAGTACAGTCTGATGATAATACTGATATTAACTGGAAGTCAAGCTTAATGAGATTATAATACATATTATTTATTGTAATTATAATTTTGTATGTCAATAGATAAAGAGAATAATAAATACAATATCCTCTATAGCTCTATTAAAAGTCAAAATTTACTATGTATAAATTATACTGTCTCTATATAAATGTATTTAGAAAATCTAAGACATGTGCGTCTGTGTTATATATTTTATTATTATAGGTAAATATAATTGAAGTATATGAAATAAAAATGCCTAAATAAAGAATATATTTTTAAAATCTTACTTTGATTGCCTTCAAGTTAAAATTGTACTTCTTTTAAACTAAAAAAAGGTAGAATTATAATATATTAATTAATACTTATCTTTCTATAGCGATTCTAATATGTTGATAAACTATAAGCCATTAACAATTATTAAATGATTATTATCTACATTTTTTTTTTCAAATAAAAACTATTGTATTTAATTATATCATAAAAGAAGGTGTATAATATTAAGAAAAAAAAATAAGTAAATTTAAATCCTTCCATCTTCCAACCCCTTGTTAAATATTCCTAATTAATAATTCTATTCTTTTCACTTTGCTAAAGGTAAAATATTTCCCAAAGAAGAAGATGAAGAAGGTGAAATGTTCAATCACTCATGTCTTTCAGATTTAAAACAAGGTAAAGTAAGACTCAGTGATAATAAAAAACTATATAATGAAAGACTGTCAGAACTACAAGCTCGCAACTCACTTTGTCCACCACATTTAAGAAGTTGTTATGCTGTAGAAACCAATTTCTTGCCAAACACCTCATTAGTTACAGAAGAAGACATTAAGGTGATTTGTTATTATTTATTTGTCATAGCCAATCATTATTCATTATTATATAATCAATTTAATTTTTTAGTCAACAGCTAATTATAGTGATTATGAGACTGAAAATCTAATCCCAAATGATCGTACAAAAAAAAAAGATAGAAATCAGGTATTTATTATACAATATCTATTTGTTTAATTGAATATTATATTTATTTTATTTTCAGACATCTTATAAAAAACCAGGACCACCAACTCCAAGCAAAAATGGAGGTCGTGTTTCTTTATCGGTATTTATCATTGTTTCATTACTGTAGAGTTTAAAAATTTGTCTTCATTTTTGAATATTATTAACACTCTAAATTTTAGATAAATGTATCTGTTTTACAATGAGGTATATGTTTTTTTTTTCATTTTAAGTATGGTTTTGGATAGTAAATTGATCCAATTTGTACTTTAGAAAGGTCAAAATAAGAAATATTAGTTTAATTCTATTATTCAAAAATTAATGTTTTCCCCAAAACATTGTAAATACACAATTTCAAAAAAATGTTTAGTTGTAATGTTTTATTATAAGTATTTAAAGTTAGAAATTTGACAAAATCTTGAAAATCACAACTTTATTGTGGTTAGAAATTCAAATAAATGTTTATACCTAAAATTTTAAAGTACAAAAATATAAATTGCAAATCTTTATCAAAAGAAAAAAAAAATTAATTGCTGGGAAGTCAAATTAATTTCTAATAACATTAGTTATTCTGTTAAATAACTTTCTCTTCAAACCATCTTTATTTTTGTTGCAATTCAAAAGTAAATACTTAAAATTTTCACCAAATATTCATGTTAATTTTTTGTACATAGTATAACTTTCAAAATACTCTAACACTGAACTGTAAGCATAAAAATGTTTTTTTCTATAAATGTCAAAAAAAATTAGCTAGGTCAAAGTTCTTGAAAATTTATAATAAGATTTCACTTAAGTTTTTCTCATATCTGTATAAAAATTATAAAAATTCATGTGCATATTTCTTTTTTTTTACATATATACATTTAAAATTCAAATTTTTGTAACTTATGTAAAAAAAATTGTGTACAATATGCCTTATAAGTAGTTTATATGGAGACTAATAATAAGTTAAATTTTCTCAAAATGATTTCAGAGCAATCAAAAAATCACATTAAAAGAATCTAAAGAAACAAATACTAACAAAAGACGAGCCAGCAGTACACCTAACAAATTATTTAGCTTATTTATGAGCAAAAAGAATTAATTTTGTTTTATAAAAAATTGTTCAAGGTTTAAAATGTCTAATTATTACTTAATTATTTTTTTGTTTTATTAATGTATTATACTTTTTTTCTATTGTATTTTCATTTTCAATATTATTATTAAAAATTATTTACATATTTTTAATACTATAATTATTTGGTCAATCATCTTTGGTTGTTATATATATACTGAATACTTGTATTGTAATATTCAGCTAACTATCTTCCATGAAATAACTCAAATTATTCTTCTAATACAACCTTTGATCCTATTGACTATGCCACTGATATTCATAAAAATCATTACATTTATTGTTTGTTCCTTTTACTCATATTATATTATATTAATATTCACTATAAGTATTAGAAATAGATAAGAATGCAGAAAAGTATAAGCATAAAAATTTATAGACTAGAGACTTCAATATAGTTGATTAATTATAGGTTTTTTATAATCCTTTTTTCTTATTTTATGTATTTATTATTTTAAATAAACACAATTCCATTTAATTTATTTCAAATAAAACCATTTCTATACTTTTTCCTACCATTTTCAAGACTTAATTTTTGTATTCTTTTATTAAATAACCATTAATAACAAGTTGTTATTTTGAAAATGACTGTTCATATAGTTCTACATTTATAAAATTTTCTAAAACTATGCTTTTAAAATGGATTTATTTGCGAGAGTTTACTAACTCTTAATGTTTGTTTTTTTATATATATATCCATTTCATAACGGCATCGGTGTAGAATTAATTTAATTAAATTATTTACTCACTTATCATCATACCTATTTCATTGTGCCTCTATTTCTTTTCACTTTTTAAATTATGAGCGAAACAATGAATGTATTGATTTTAAACTTTGAAGATGATTTCTTGGAAAAAATTGGATTTAGTTTATAATTTTATAACTTATTCAGAAAAAAAAATGAAATAAAAAAACTTAATAGTTATAAATTATGACAAGAATTTATTGTATAAATTGGAAATATTTTATTACATAAGAAGTATTCAATGTCACATAGAAGATTTTTCAATATTACATAGGAAGTTTCCTAATGGCAATAGAATTGCATAGAATGAACGGATTTTGAATATTTTTTAAAAAAATAAATAAAAGTTCTTGCATAAAACAAATGTTTATTTAAAGTATTTTAACTATCAGCGTTTCTAAGGTATTGTGTTAAGTAATAGTAATTAGAAATATTTTCTTTTTTAATTTAAAACAATATTAATTTATTACAGCATAAAAGTTTAAAATCCTAAAATTAGTAATAAGCATTCATTGAATAAAAATTATTAATTACTTACCAATTACTGTATGAATTTAATTTAGTGTACATTTTTATTAATATTATCATAATTCATAAATATAATTTTATTATAATTAACATGAAAAAAATCTATTAGCAAAATGCCATACGTGATACCTACTATACCCTACCATTGCATACAATATTTCCTAGGTAATTATAACTGAATTTGTAATTGCATAGCTGATATTTCACAAACGATTCATAGTAGTCAATAGGTAGGTAACACGCTCATTAATCTTCCCTTAAAGTGCTCATTGGAGATTTTATCATAATGACAGTCTTATTTTTCTGAATCCAGGGATATCAAAATCTCAAAATTGTAAATTTGTCAAATAAGAAGTTATTCGTGTCAACAATACTATTATAATATGATAAAATCAAATTTTGTTTTTTTTTTATTTATTGTTCAAAATTATAACCATAGAAACTTACAATTTTCACTAAATTCTTATATTGTAATTTTTAAACATTTTAAATTATTTTATACGACAGATAAAATAATACATCACCGAGAAAAAATGCTTGATAATTTATAGTCCCAATATTTTTTTATAGGTATTTAAAATTAGCATTCTTACAAAATCTCGGCAATTCAAAAATTATTTTACAGTTAGATAATTATAAATTTATAAAAAGAATTCTCGTTAAATGTAAGTCGTAATCAAGTTAGTTTGTATACCTCTCATGAGTCAAACTATCGATTACGTCAACCGTAATTGCGACTCGGCCGGAGGGATTGCTCCAAGATGAAAAAGAGATCCTGCGGGTCCGCAACGCAGCGCGGTCCACCAGATATCACAACATAGATACTCTCATTAGATTTCGTCCTGGGGTCTCGTACTCTCATCGACCTTGTGTCTGCGTCCGATGTTCGCCCGCTGCCGGAACCAGAATGTCAAATTTTTGCGGGTCCGACGACACTGACGTCAGTGTTCCTAACTCCACTTTCCTCACTCACCCCGTGCTAAAGTTTCCACCGTCGTCATCGTTGCAGTTACGGAACGATGCCCACGTCGGTACAACTGGCCGCCGTGTCGTCGTCGTTGTCGTCCACTAAACAGTCAGAGTTAAGCACATTCCACGCCTACAAACTCGTTGCGACGCCACGGCTGGTCGTAAACTCGTAAAAAAAATAGAACGTGTACGGGTAACTTGCCGCCGCGTACCGTCCATGCGTCGCATGTCTTGAGAATTGAAGGTTGCGAACGCTAATAATTGCATCGATTGCAACTGCAATACACACACACACACTGCAAAACCCGCCTGAGGCTTTTCCACGCCGCAGTAAATCTCCGTCGGCGAAGTACATAGGTACCTATATATGATTAAATTATTGGATCTAACTAACCAACCAGATCTCCAAGAGAATTCCTCACTTCTACTCACTTGACCGGTAAAATATCCTACATTCCTACACTATCGCCATTCGCCATTGACTCTGCGACTATCTGCATTGCCTTTCGGTCAGTCATCGCAAATTTCTGCAGCCATTCCTTTTGTTCGAAATTTGAATCGACCGCTGGAGTTAAAATGTCCGATGATGGTGCGTTTCCATCGAGCGACGGATCACTAACATTGTCATAACATTTTTTCTAATCATTAAAACCTTTATCTTTATTCTCAAATAATGTTTTTTGTTACCAAACTATAAACGTTGAAAACAAAATAAAACATTTTTTTTACTGTAAATATAAAATTCAATCTCTAAAATGAGTTTCTTCATTTTGTATTTTTCTATTGAATATATTTAATGGAAGGTACCTCACATATTTACCAATTATAACTCTTTTGTTTTTTTTTAAATGCATTAATTTCAAATTTTGCTTTAGTAGTTTTAATAATAATCTATACTTAAGAAGTTGATTTCCCATAGTACTAGATCAATATTTGGATAATTATAATTTATAATTATTTATTTATTTATAGGTGTATTCTGTATAGTACCTATATTAAAATATAAATTATTTTAGAAATTATGGCAAAGAAGCGTTCAATTTATTTTGCCTCTGGCGTTTTCAACTCTTAATCCGTCACTGATTGCCACTATTCTACTGGAACAGCCAGACTACGTGCAAATAAAATAAATTGTGAATAGGTAAATTGAAGCATGCTATTTATAAAATACAATCATTTTTACAATATTCATCAAATTTGAATGATTCAATTTAAGTTATTAGTTATAATTATTAATTTAAAAGTTTTTTTTATTACAAATACGGTCTTTAAAGATCTAAAAATATTTATTTTATTTTATAAGACCGTGATACCTATAAAATATAAATATAGATTACTGGACTGGAAACAAATAATTCGAAATTTCTTTGTACTTGCACTATATTATTGCCTATTGGATACTATGTACGACATTAATAATTATAAATTATTATGTACGTTTACATAATTATACTATAAAAAAATCTTATATAAGATAAAGCAATACTTTTAAGTTTTAATGTTATAAATATAAATTAGAGCATGAATTTTATGCATTTAAAAGTATAAAAATATATCATAAAATATGCAAGAATTTTTTTTTATTTATTTAAAATTCACAAATTAAACAACTTATAACAATTAATTACTTAAAATTTAAATGCTTAAGAAAAAAATTTTCGCATTAGTATGCAATACATTTCGAATTTTGTAAGACTATGCAATAACCAATAAATATAAAAAAAAATTTACCATTAGATTCAAATAATTATGATTCGTAAATATAACTGACATAATCCAAATAAGTAAAAAGGAAAAAAATATGCCATTGCATTGAAATCCGTTTTCTGGTTAAAAAAGTAATATAACATAAAAAGATAGTTAAAATAAAATAAAGTTCAAAGACCGTAATTATTAATATTACTATATGACAATAATTAATTTAGAATGATAATTTTTATTTACCTAATCTAATAGATATTACCATTGATTATAGAATAGACTATTATAAAATATACTATACTATATACTATTATAGTCTATTCTATAATCAATGGTAAGACATTTTGATTAAGGGATGACAAATAGATCCCAAGACAACTATATCCATTTTGTTGCCAAGTATGGTTTGGATGTTGATGACTCTGGTCCTATTTGTTCATACACCGTATATGATATATATGATAATAATATTTTCTATCTGTGGTCTCAGATTTATCAGCTTTTGCTTATCAATATTCTACCGTTCACAAAATAAATAATGTTTATTTATTGTTCAGTAGCAACTGCTAACTGCCGACTTGTCGAGTGTCGACTAGCAAAATAGCAAGTAGCAGATACTTAGTACTGACGTGTTGATAAATTATATTGCAATATAATTATTAAATTTAATTCTTCATACACAATATACATATATTGTACTTATTCACAATTCACTTTTCATGTTAGTGTTCTACAATAAACATTCAGTACATTAAATAAATGATTTAAAATAAAATTTGTATAATTACTTTTATGTTTGAATTTTGTTTTAGCAAATAATTCATATTATTATTATTTTATTTGTGCTGTATAATCTAAGTTCTATCAAAATGTATACAAATCAATACACTCCTCAGTATTCACAGTATAATCAACAATATCAACAATATCCATCTAATTACTACCAAATGTACAATTATAACCAACAACCTGCTTATAACGTTCCACCACCAACACAAACAGCTGCAACGTTTATAAGTCCAAACGTACCTGTTCAACAACCACAAGTATCAACTCCAGGACAAAATGTTACAAGTTTATGGATGGGAAGTGTACGTCTTATGAAATCATTTATAATTTATAATTATTAACAATGAATTATTATTATTTTAGCTAGAACCGTATATGACGGAGAGTTTTATCACAGGTGCTTTTCAAAAGATGGGAGAATATCCGAAGAATGTTAAGTTAATGCGTAATAAAAATACTGGTGAAACTGCTGGCTATGCCTTTGTTGATTTTTATGATCCTGTATCTGTTATGCATAAACTCAACGGAAAATATATACCTGGTACTAATCCAGTGAGTAGTTATTTTGTTTAAGTCAGACTATAATTTTATAAATTTAGGTACCTAATATATAAATCAAATAAAGTAAATTTAAACATTTTATTTGTTAAAATAAAAAGAAATATTGACCAAGGAACTATGTAAAAAAAAATATGCTTTATAAAAATTGACTAGTACATTTACATAATAAAATATGCATTAATTTACATTTATTAAGATAATGGTTTTTGAAAAAATTATAAATATAATACACATTCAATAAATTTTTTACTTATATCATATACAGACTATTAAAAATAAAAAACAAAATATTCTTCATTAAAAGTAGTTACAGGCACTTGCATAATGATTTATTTGTTTTGCTATGATACATAATATATCATTGCTAGTGCTATTTTAGTTTCAAGTTTGTCTCGCCAATCAATGTAATAATATAATATTACTAAATAACCATTTACTGATATACATGCTATATGTTTTAATTATACTAAATATGACTCAAATTATTCATATTTATACTTTGATAAGCAAAGTAATATTTTAAATATTTCAAAAATAACATTCATTGATAAAGAAGTATAAACAAGTTATTTAATTAAAAAAATTATTCTTGTTATAATTTACTGATTTAATATTATGTATTATATATTACATTTTTGTATCATATGTATATTTAAGATGAGTCAAATAAAAATTTGTTATTAAATTATTAAACAATAAAAATAACTTTAAGTATTTTTTTAAGTACAATTTAAGTATATGTTATAGAATATAAATAAATAATTTTGAATAATTGTTTACAGCCTGTTAGATTTAAACTCAATCATGCTGGAAATCCTGGAAAAATTTCTACAAGTGATAGAGATTTTTCTGTTTGGTTAGGTGAACTTAGTTCTGATGTAGATGATTATCAGTTATATAAAACATTTGCTTGCCGTTATCAATCTATACGTACAGCTAAAGGTAATACTTGAAAATTTAAAATTAATAATAATATTTATTAGTATTATGTTTACTATAATAGTAATTTAATATTATACTTAAAACTTTTCAGTGGTTTTAGATAGTGCTGGTTACAGTAAAGGATATGGATTTATTCGTTTTGGTAGTGAAGAAGAACAAAAACACTGTCTTAACAATATGAACGGTTTTCCAGGTCTTGGTTCCAAACCCATAAAGGTTAGCAGTGTCATACCCAAATCAGAACGTCATATTGTTGTGTAAGATGATTATTTGTTTTTAATTGATTTACAGTTTATTTTAAAAATGTATAGCAATATAAGTATTTTTATTAAAATTAAAACTAATTATCTCAATCTGTTATAAACAAAATTAAATTTATTAACTAATAGAATTTTATTATTTTTATTGAAATAATTACAATACCAATTATATTATAAATTCAATAACTTAATTTAAATTTGTTTACATGATATAATATATAAACTAAAAAAAAAAAGTTTTAATGTATAGTAGAACCTAGTAACCTAGTATCTGCGGTATCATAATTTAGTTATTACACATTAGAAATTAAATTCAATATTATACAAACAATAATTTTATCATATAATTTCAATTAAATAAAAACTTTACCGATTTCCAAACTAAACTTCTTCAAATGTGATCAAGGAAAATTAATTAGTATTTAATGATTTTCACATGCATGATTTAATACTTCAATAATCAATATTAAAACAAATTTTTTTTTCTTAAAAAATGAAGTTAATAAGAAAACAAATTTTTTTTTCTTGAAAAATGAAGTTAATAAGAAAACAAATTTTTTCTTAAATTATAACAATAGCATTGATTATTTTGGCAAGTCTGAACACTCAAATTTTTGGATAAATCCAATTAGTTCTAGAATTAAGTGTTATTTTATCTTTCGTCTGTTAAATATAAGTATATGTTGTACATTTTTACAAATGTTCTAAGCCTACAAAAAAAAATCATATTGTTATAGATTTATTTAATTTATCAAATATTTTATATTGTTAATATTATTATAATTTATATTTATTTTATTTTAGAATTTCTTACTCTAAACTTAATTTTAAGAAAATTTGATACTAACTGTTCCTGTTTTTGTCTAACACATGGGAAACATTTTACATGTTCTTTAACAAACATACTGATAGATCTAGTGTAGAAATAATAATTCTGAAAAGATTTTGAATTTTTTGATAAATTGACTATTATTGATTTTTAACTATAACATCTTTAAAAATTAAATTATGATAATTTTTGGTTTAATTTTTTTTAGGATTTAAGTTAATGAAATAAAAAATTTGGTTAAGTCTCAAAACTTATATAAGAATTATATAACTATAAGAATTATTATAGCTTCTTTATATTAGTTAGTAAATTTGACAAAGAACTTATCTAAATCCCTATGCTTCTGTTATAATTACAATTTATTTCTATAAATAAAGAATATATTATCATTAATCATTATAATTTAAACTATATTAGTAAATTTTTATCTCTGTATCAGATAGTTTAAAAATTAGTTTCAAAAGATGTAAATGAAATTCTTGACTAGGCAAATATTAAGAGTTATAAGATCTATCTTTAATTACAATGTTCGTTAGCTATTTACAATATAAAATTATGTAATAAGATTTCATATATTGATTTATGTAATTTTGATTGTTAAAATTTTGTTGGTAATTTTTACGCTAGATCCTATAATTTATTAGAATTAATTAGTCGATGTCCCTATGTTTATTAATGAATAATTACAATCTATATTATATGTATAATAAGAAATTTTAATACCATACAAATGTATTACAAATGTATCCTATTATCATGAAAAAATTATTTTTATTGTTAATAAGACAATTATTATTTAATTATATTTTTTGATTTCATAATAAAATATTATAACTACAGTAATATTTAACAAAACAATTCAAAATTGTGCTAATAAATAATATATTTAACTAATCCCTTTCTTTAATAATTTTATATTATTAAGATACAAAATAATTAACTATTTTATTTTAAAAATATATTTTTTAGAAATCATTTTATTACTATTTAAATAATATTATGAAACTTATAAAACATTGGCTTAATATCAAACAATAGTATAATTATAATTCAAAATAAAAATTGATCAATTATTTCAGTGCTTCAAATGAATCTCAAGGGTATAAGGCTAGTCAAGATTATGGACAGTATTTTGAAACCAACTACTGGCATCGATACTCAATGTGGAACCAACCTCAAAGTCAGAATTGTGTGCTTAAGCCAGAATCAGCTATTGAAACTACTGCTATTAAAACTAATGGGAATTCAAATTTAGTTGGTATGTTATTATATCTCAACATAATATAATTAAATACATTTAAAATTGAAAAATTTTAAATTTTGCAGATTATAAAAAGTCAATTGATATAGATGCATTAAACAAAGAATTGGTCACACAAGATTATAATTTATGGGATGCACTTGAAAGTTCGAAATGGCTACCACTCGACACTATAGAAGTTATTTAAATTTGAATAAAATCATCAAATATTAAAAAAAAACATTTTGATAAGTTTATTTGCTCAAATATGTCATTTCTTGTATATACTTATAAAAAGTAATGATTCTAAAATATTTTCATGTATTTTATTTACAACACATAAAAACTAACTTTTGAGAAATATTGCTTAAGATAACTTAAAATTAATAAACAACTAATGTTATTCTATTCTTCAAGTATCAATTAATTATTTTTTTTATGTATATATATAGCATATAATGTTAATTCATGTTTAGATTAAATAAAAAAAAATAAATATTTAATCCATATATAAATATTGTTCTTTTTAATGCTTCCTAGTAAATAGTTTAAATCAGTCTATCCTTTTTTTTTTAGCTAACACTTGTTTTCTGAAATAATTCCTTATTATTTCTGTGTATGTTTGATACTTGAATGATTAAAGATTGGATTGATTTAATTGTTAGTTACATAATTATGTAAGTATGTTTTTTTTTGTTAACAAAATTACAATTCAGTTAAAATAGTAAATAACATGTTTGTATTATTTTAGCTTTTATTCTTTAATTAATGCTAATACAAATTAAATGTGTATTTTATCTATAATTTTGTTTTTATTAAATTGCATAGTTAGGTTTAGGTAGTCAACACAAATAACTAAAAGTAATTAACACTCAAACTACTCATACTTAAATGTTTGTATTAAATTTTTTTTTAGGAATTACTATTTTTACACAAAATGTAAATTATATTTAAGTGTGATTTAAGTTTTCATAATAAAAATGCTGTTGTTAATTCTATGTTTTAATTATATATTTTACATTAACTATTTAGTACCACATTTTCTAAAAATAAGTAACTTTAAAAAGATTATGTATCTTATATTTTTAATTTATACACAAATAAAAGAACTACCTTATGTTTTTATTATGTGCTTAAAAATATCTTGGTTATTGTAATATTTGCTATTCTAATATAATTAATTTGATTAAAATTCTAAAACAATATAATTCTATAAGAATATTGACTTAAATAAGGCAAATAATTTTTACACACAATTTAAATAATGAGACTCATTAATTTAAATAATTAGGCCCATTAATGTTATGATGCAACTGTGATATATTTGGTATGTAATGCACCTATTGAAAATAATTTGATCTAAACTATAAGATATATCAATAGTTGTATGTACCTGACTGGAATTAGTAATCTAGATTTTGAGATAGGCACAAGTTTGTAGATATTTTATGGGAATGAACCTCCCTCCCCCCAAATGTGTCACAAATAATTTTTAAATAAATTAAGAACATATTTTTTTAAAGAACTACGAAAATATTACTTAGATACCTGCATAACTAAAGAATAACATTAAATTATTAACCGATAATTTATTTGAAAAAATTACTAATATTTTTAGGATGATTTTGTAGTATAGGACATCATGATAGCTGAAAATTATTAATTAAACCAGATTTTGAGGTGATGACTCAAGTTCTAGAACTCTTTGTGGTCAAATTATTAAAAATTCCAAATTTTCATATATTTTTAGGTATAAAATATACCCTAATCTTTGTTGGTTATTGCAAGTATTATTAGTCACTATTCATAGATGATGATACATTCTATAAAATTTATGTTACAAGATAAGCTTGCCAGATTTTAAAATCACCAAACCGGGACATCATATTAAAATAAACTTTTTTTTTTTTAATATGTTAGTATAATTATATGGAAATAATAAACAAATAACATAATACTATTATCATGTAATGATGTAATGATATTATGTACAATATTATTCCATGTTTCGATATTAAATAATATAATGTTAAAGTTATTTTAACTCGGCTTCCATTAACCGGGACACCGGGAAATGTTAAAACCGGGACGAATGGTGAGCCTATTAAAAGATGTAAGCCCATGTTACGATTTTGCGATAATGAGGACGTTTCAAATACAAATTTACTTTTCGAATTTAGAATACAAAAATATGAATGAGAATATTTAAAATAAATAGTAAAAAAGATATTTTAATCATTGCTTGGTATTCGAGTAATTTAAAAACATGTTGGCAGAGGTGTATCAGAGACCCGTATAACATAAGTTGTAGTTCTAACCCACCATGAAAAAATTTCTTTTTAAACATAATTATAGGAAGACGCGTCGAGTGTGGAAATAAGGAATACTGGAATGGCGTTCGCTTGTGGCGGCAACGTTAGTGACAATATCTTGTACCACAGATGGCGCTGCCCACGGATCTGCCATAGATTGACCGGATACGGATGTCCTAACTACCGATTTTCGCACAAAATAATCAATAAATGACAACCGATAAAGATGTCTAGATGTTTTTTCTTTACGCTGACGTCCCATTATGGCCACAAGACGATTGCTAGGGAACTGTAGGTCAACGTCGAGTCTTACACAATATCCGACTCGCCATATCTCGGGCAGACCGCGCATTACATATAACCATTCCCGGGACTTTCCATCGGCATACTTACCTGGCGTGGAGGTTAACCGTGATCACTATGGCGGTTCCTCCAGGGCGAGGCCGACTCATTGCACATGGAGTCGGTTGACCCCTGCGAGTATCCCTAATGTGGATACCTCGGGCGCAGAATTTTTGGTAGCTGGGACTGCGTACGCGCCGTCCCTAATTTAACAAATGAGATTAATAATTAGAACGTGTACATACTGTACACTAATTAGACTGTTGTTGATGGCGATATCCATCAATCCGTGTTCTATAGATGCCAATATTTCCCTAAAATGTAATTCGTGTAGTTACCTTATCCCGATAGAGTAGTATACATTATGCAAAACCAATCATTCATAATCGATAGACATTAAATTTATTGTGTTTAGATCACAGTTGTCTGTATTATGAAAACAGAGGCGTTTATTTACAGGAAAAGTTGGTTTACGGAAATACGTGCCCCCCCCTCTTTTCCCTTGAATGTATACTCTTGTAAATGAGTTTATTTTTTCGATAGATTATAAAATACAGGGACATTTAGTATTGACTATTTTAGTTATATCTCCTCCTAAAAAAAATTCTTAATACGTCACTGCTATATTATTACTAACTCATCTGTGATATAGATGTATGCAATGAATTGTCGTGTGTATATCCGTGAATCGCCGATTGATGTTTTAACATTTTTTCACAATATTATAATTCGTTTTATGTATGTGGGACAGTGAACTGCAGTTTATTTTCATTATTATAATTACGTGATATGACCTTCTCTAGTTTTTCGGATAATTTAAATATTTATTAATGTTATTTTTTTAACAGATTAAGTTTAACTACAAAAAAATGGTATGCTTTAACAAACCGAGATAAAATAAACAAGACATTCGTATGCGTGCCTCATTCAGAATATTATCTACATTAATACTTATTATACTTATGATATTTATTTAGAAATGAGTAAACGCAAGAATGTGTATAAATGTTATAGATATACGATATACAATTATTATTTTTGTAAACTTTTAAAAACTGTTTATACCTTTGTAAGGACTGTGGACATGTGCATTAATAGTTTTAATCAAAGTTGTAAATTGTAATACATTTTACAACTAATCGACTGAACTGTGGAAGCAACTAGTAAAATTACGCATATTATATTTTAAAAATATGTTGTGATTCTACTAATTCTTGGTATATCTATTCTACATTTCCACAAAAACAATATAACCATCAAAATAATTTGACCTCAAAAGTCGTACTTATCTAAATTCAAAAACAACATAATGGAAACATTGTAAACTATGATGAAAATTGTGTAAATTAACGTTAATATATTAGGCAGGACCGTATTGCGCAATGACATACAATAATAATCTTAATCTTACATAGACTTTTTAAACTTGGCAAGATAATACGACATAATATTATACTATCATGTTTATTATGTTAAAATACGTAAATTATTATTATTTTTTATATACCGTGGTTATTGAGAATAAAAATAAATAATAGTGTACTATATTTTTTATTTGTGTATGACAAGGTGATAGGTCATAAATTTTAATATTTATCTATTTATTAGATGTAAATTAATTTTACATAGTCTTGCATACTATAACCGGAAATATTTTAAATACTTTAACTTCATATAGATATGTATATAATTAATATATAATAATATATTAATATATTTTTCATAGTAACGCATATGGCGTGTCAAATAGTTTATTCTAATTTGTTTAAACATTTTTTTTCTATAACTTGTATCCTCTACGTTATATCAAGGATAAATTATTTAATTTTCATGTGCTAAACCGAAATTCATGTGTGAGTAACTCCATAGCAATTCTATATAGGTTGAAAAAAAAGGCCTATGTAATTTTTTATACGAAATCTAGCGGGTCAAAAATACGTAATAAACAAGTTCAAAAAGTTTGCCGACTATAAATATAGAAGTATTTATAATTGTGTGATATTGTTTATTTAATGAATTGTGTTTATTAAACAAAAATAATTTATCTAAGTTTGGTAGCTACTTACATGATACATACGTCTATATGGTTAAAATAAAAATACACAATTAGAATGAACAATAATTTACATCGATTTGAAAATATTGTATGATATAGTTGTAAAGTCTTTTACAATAGTACCCGTGGACAATAAACACACATTGTTTTAACAAGATTTGATTTTAATTTAATTTGTATATAAATTGTTTGAACGTCTACAATTCTAACACGTTGGTCTTTTCGTATAATTGATTTATCAATTCTAATTTTATAATTTAATTTATTTGCTAATTTATAACATTTACATATTAAATTAAAATAGTAATATTGGTACCTAAATACCCCACACAGAGTAATATGAATATAACGCTAACTTATCTCGCAGGCTTCCTATCAGAGATATCTAACGGAAATTGCACTTAATGTAACGTGTATATATATATATATATATGATAACTAAAATTCACAAACCGCTAACTATAAATTTAAAATGTAGATAGAATTTTATTTATTTTATTTTCATTGGCTCAATAAAATGAACAGTTATGTTATAATTTATTACAATATTCTAATGTTTCGTTATATTGAATATTATTTGTTTATGATTAATAAATTATTTATTAGTATAATTGCGTTGCGTAAAAATGTATTTATTAACATGTATAATGTATATTAAAAGCGGTAAATATAAAGTATTTAATTTCAAACGTGAATACTTTGATAATATTATATGTTAAGTATGTTAAAAAATTGTATTTTATACAAGAAGAGAGCGTATTATTAACGTGACCATATTTTTTTTTCTTCAAAGCGGGACACTTGTATATTTTAATAAGAATTAAGAAAACCACATCATTTTGCGAAAAATAACAATTTTTTTATTGAAAAAAAAAACATAAACCATTTGTATAAAAAATGGCAACAGAAAAACGGAACTAATATATTAATAAGTATAATAATAATAATAATAATAATAATGATAAATAATAAATAATGTAAAAATAAATAATAGAGTATATTATTCGGCCGTATTCCATTTATCGCCGATTCCCGCAGTTGACGCGGTGGCAGCGACAATAACAATAAGGTAGTTATTTTTGTACCATTTTGATCTATGTACTATGGGTTTTAGTGTTTTACGTAATACATATGTATATATATATATATATATATATATTACGTAGTTATACTATACGTCTATACAGTATAAATGTATAAATAATGTATGATTGTGATTTGTGATCAATAAACACTTACCACAACTGTCCACAAGTCGACTTTTCTTAAAGCGGGACATTTTTGGGTTCTTTGGGGACAGCGGGACTGTCCCGCCCAAAGCAGGACGTATGGTCACGTTATGTATTATTTAAAAATCGTTTAATTATTTTTATTCATATTAATTTTGGGAATAATTATTTTCTTACTATTTAACTTTATATTATAATGTCATAAATAATATGTATAGTGGACAAATATAATATTAATGACTGCACGTTTTAGAAAGCTTATCAAGTTTTTCGATTCATTTTCACTTTTGATATTACTATTATTTATGTGACCTGTTATACACTTCAGATATACATTTATAATGACATAATTAAGATCATAATTCATAATTAATTTAACTAAATAATTGGTTAACTTATAGAAATTATTCTTTTATTTATATTGATTTTTAGTCAAATTAATTTACACAAATATAAATCATTATTTAATACATTACGTTTAACTACGTATGGACAATCAGATAATGTACTCATTAATGGTTCAGACATAATATCTGCACACAACTGTGTAAATCGTAAGACAAGCAATTAATCTCATTTCGTTTACTTATACTCATAAAATTATGTTCATTATTTATAAGATGAGGGATAGCGCGTACGCAGTCCCAGCTAGCAAAAATTCTGCGCCCGAGGTATCCACATTAGGGATACTCACAGGGGTCAACTGAATCTAAGTGCAATGAATCAGTCTCACCCTGAAGGAACCGCCATAGTGATCACGATTGACCTTCACGCCAGGTAAGTATGTGTGCACGGGATTTGCCGAGATGTTATATACTATGCTCCAGCCATCCAAAAATAGTACATCGCCGTAACATATTGATGACCGCTTCAGTCGTTCGGCGTTAATGATGATCGGTGATCGCTGTTGCGGCTGTTAAAGAAAAATTTCTAAAATAGTAAATATTTATAAATATGCTAGATATTATGTTATTACACGCCTTGACTACGATAAGTGTCAGCTGAAAGTGCCGGTTGATAAGCAGCGCTTCCTATGAGTGAAACCAAAGACGCTTTTTGAGTTCCTAAGTCCTTACCAAATGTGTTGACAATTTTCACCGCCGGGCGTAAGTGCTTCTTGTTTTAACAATAATACATTTATATATTATTATTTATCTGTTACGCAATTGCCATAACGGTATTAACTATTAAGCACGTTCATTTTATTTACTTTTATAATATCATATAAAATAATAAAATTGATAATTATTACTCAATTGTCGTAACCATAAGAATTTTAAACCCAAGGCCGTCATTTGATAATAGGTAATTTATTATGATGTTGGCTATTTGACATTTAATACTTAAATATCAGTATTGTGGTAGATACTAAAAAATACAAACTAAGGACCAAAACAATAAATAGACGCCTACAATCTTGACTTTCGTGATAGAATCAAAACCCTTGATAACACTAAGGAAAATAAGTTACGACCTCGTATAAACTTTGTTATTTATATATATATACATAATAATATACAGTTAACTCGTGATATAAAGAAGCTCGTTATAACGAAAATCTCGATATAACGAATAAAATTGTCGGTCCCTTGAAAATCTCACGAACGAAATATTACATGTATTTTAGTCCCCTCGATATAACGAAGTTTTTTCACCAAAGCTCTCGCTATGTAATGAATTTTCACAATTTTGGAGCTTGATATTACGGATTTTACGAGTTTCGGCTATGTATAATTATTTAATACGATAGGATTAAACGGATGACGTCGTTATTGTATAAGATACTATTATTAGTTACTACTAGCATGCTATTACGGTGTTTTTTTTTCGGCGATTATCACGCGATAAGATAAATGACTACAACGTTTGGTCATATTTTAAAATTAGACAATACAATAATTGACCAAGTAGGCGCAAATGGCTATATACCAAAAAAAAAAAAAAAACGATTTATAAAAAAAAATAAATATGTATGTATGTAATAAAATAAAATTTAATAAACAATAATTCATATTTAATATGTATGTATGTAATTATAATAATATGTAATCTAATAAAATATTAATTTTGAAAATTTTTGAAATCTTGTTAAAATTAATTTTATTAAATTATTCTTTCGATATACCAATTTTTTTTCTCGGTCCCTTGAAATTTGTTATATCGCGAGTTGACTGTATATGTATTACATAAATATTATTTATTCGTTTATTTATTGTCACTTATGAACACATCTTTTTTAAAATTATTATAAATATATATATATCTATTATCATTTATCAAACTTGTATTATGTTAATCATTTGAAACATTTTTAAATTAAATTAATTAATAATAAGAAAAAAAATGTAAAATATAATGATAATAATGTTCGCAAATCAGTTAAAGAAATAAGAATATGCAGTCATTGACAGACTTTTTTTTTTGCAATCGTTGTGCTAATGTGGCATTCGATTTTTAATTAAACCGTCTATGAAGTATGTTTGTAAGACGGACGTATAGAAATGGGGGTGTGTCGTCCTCATACGACACGTCAATGACCTATTACACTGAAATTTTAATCAACGACGCGCTATATTTTTTCTATGCGACATATAGAATTTGATATTATAATTAGAATATAGGTGTTTATAATAAATTATTAAACGTGAAGTTAATTTGAAAAAAAAAATTTATTTAGATCCTTGCGCCATCTACGAACACAATATATAACCATATAATCTAATCTCTTGATTTGTGAAGCAATAGAGGATAGCTGTCGTTACGATATAATTATCTTATAACTATTTATGTATGTAAATTGTAAATATGTAATGTTATTTGGATATATTATACTAAATTACTATTATTATTCATGGATATAGTCGGATTAATCGTTTTTCGCTCTACAACATACGATAATTAAACATTTACAGAACACGAAAATTTGAAAATGTACGTATGATTGAAAACGGATTTACATAGTACTGGTTCACTAATTAATAACATGATCGGTTCACGACGTTCACGTACACACATAAATCAATGCATTTTTTACGATCACAAGACAGAAACTAGACCGAATAAACGTAAAAAATACATGTTTGGCTTATGCAGTCGTGGTATCTATTTATAATATTACATTTCAATATCTACGAACTGCGAGACGTGAATGTGGGGGATTAATGTTTTTTCGATTGTCGATGAGGCGTACGAAATATCGATGATCTCCGGCGCGCCGATAAAATAGCTAAGAGAATTCCGTTCGGTTTGTTACGACATTTTTTTTATGATTGCGCAAAAGTGCAACAAGGGTTGGCGAAGGACTAATGCCTTTATGTGTTATTTAAGTCAGTAATTTCAAATTTGTGATATCTTCGCAAACAATCGATTGTTCGGGTGAGCAGCCGTAACGGTAACGGCGTAAAAGCGGCGAGCCCCATCTCACCGACAGATGGCAGCGCGCTGCTTGTCGTTTGTGGTCGCACCGTCAGTCAGCCGATTTTCTCGCGATTTGTCGGCGGTGCGTCGTATCCGACATCCGCCGGCGGTCACGCAATTCGGCCACTGACCGATCGTTGGCCGGCAACCGACTAACGGTAGCCAATTAATCGTACGCGATCTGACAACCGGATTGACGGTCGTATCGTCAAACCGCTCGGGCCAATCGGAACCAATCCATCATATAGGCAACCGGTACCGTAACTTTCGGTATACTTACTTGGTGCCGAGGTTAACCGTGATCAACGCGGCGGTTCCTCCAGGAAGAGACTGTTCCATTGCACACCGGGACGGTTGAACCCTGCGAGTATCCCTTTTGCGGATATCTCGGACACGTAATTTTTGGTAGCTGGGACTGCGTTCGCGCTGTCCCTTAATAACTAAAATCTCAGAGTTCACACGACTTACATTTAATACTTAGTAGGGACTGAAGGCGTGGACGACTATCTACACATTTCAAGAGAGTATCTTCCTCCGTTTGTTGGTAATATCGCGAGTAATCAATTACTTGATTTTCTGGAATTGGTTACTCGATTAATTACTTGCCGACCTGGTTATTTTTTTATATATTGTTTTACATACACTAGTTATATTATGTCGTCCAGTTGTTGTTCAGTTGTTCGACACGTACGTTCTCGAGGTATTTTTCACCGGGTTCACAACTGTTCAGTGTGTATTAGATCCCACGTGTTGATGGTCTGAATAGGTGTTCAAAGGTTCATAACTTACGTGGTCGACGTGATAACACTGTTTTGTTTTACGCACCTGGGCGAGCAGTACGCAGTTTATATATTTTTAAATTTCGTGATTACGCAACACATCAATTATTTTAAATAATAAATTTACTATTTGTAAATTAACGTAATATTATAGTGTTTCTAAATCATTTCTTGAATGATGCATATTTTTTTTACAGAAAAATGTTATCACAAAAAGTCAGTATTTAATGTTAGAAATAATAGTTGGGTAACAAAACGGTACATAATGAATATTTTACAATGTTTCATCCTGGATATTGATATAATACAGATGTAATTTTAAAGTTAATTGTTAAAGTTAAAGTTTAATCAGTTACATAAAAAATACTATTGTTAATCAAAGATAGAAAAGTTAAGTAACAATACATTTCTGTAAATTAATTAGTAGCTTTTCTGTACTATAACTAATAAATAATAATGCCAATTTGGTATGGACAATACCTTAAATTACTGCAGGAATAATAATTATTCATTTTATTTAAGCTAGTATCTATTTATAAAATTAGTTTTACGGATATTTTGCACAAGTATCTTCTCTATTAAAAGTGTTATTACTTATTAGTGTTAACAAATTATTTTCAACTCAGATTTTTTGACCACCGTACACATACATTGGCGTATGAACAAATTATACAGTTTAAATTGTTATAAAAGTTCGACTTGCTCAATAAAATTTTAATTTTTTTAAAATTAACCAAAATTTAAATGTTTACTCTTCAACTATCGTGAGAATATAAATTATTCATGTAAAAAGTGAACATATAAAAATCTTAATTCGAGAAACAAATAAAATTATCTTATTTTTTTCAATTTTAGTTTGATCTTGTACACTTTTTTGCTGTACTAATAAAAAAATGGAAACAATAACTTATTTAATTATTTAATAATAATTCTGTTGTACTCGTAATATTTTCAGGATTGTCTGTAACATTTTTAACTCTATAATTTAATTTATAATGAAGTCGATCAATTATAAGCATGATTCATGATATCCGATTTCTTTATTCGAAATCATACAATATAATATGCAAAAAACTATTTCCTATTTTTGTGTCGATTATTTAGTTATTATGTTAGCGTTGAAATGTGAAATAGAGTTATTTTATGAAATATCTAGGTATTTATACATCGATCAATCATCAAATAAAGATGATAAACTATATAATTTATGTTTTGACTAAATATTTTACAAATTCCCCATGAATGTTTAGTTATATTACGTATTTGTAAGTTATAGGTAATAATTAGAATAAATGACATTTTTTCTGTGGTGTGTTAACTAGTGGTATCATTTTCTTTATCGATAACAGATACAACGATTAAATTGGTCATTTTATCTTATTTATTGATTATTTTGATAATTGTCAACGTCGCGTTATCAATCGGCGTATACCTACTCATTAATATGGTTGGTTTTTCATTTGCGGTTTATTTATTTCTGATATGATATTGTTTAAAATATATGAGTATTAATAATATTGTCACTATAAACTTGAGTTTTGGCGTTTTTTATCATCGGTTCATCATGCACATATTATAGAATTTGAAAT